CCACTAACCACCCTCTAACACCACACTACCACCTTCTACCACCATCACTACCACACGACAACCATCACTACCACCCTCAACCACCATCACTACCACCCTCTACAACATCACTACCACCCTCTACACCATCATTAACACCCTCTACCACCATCACAACACCCTCTACCACCACCCTCTACCACCACCCTCTACCACCACCCTCGACACCTATCAAACCACCATCACTACCACCCTCTACCACATCACTACCACCCATACCACCACCCTCTACCAACCACCCTCTTCCACTATCACCTCACTTTCTAACACCATCACTACACCCTCTAACACCATCACTACCACCTTCTACAAACCATCAATATCACCCTCTACAACCATCTCTACCAGCATCTACCACCATCACTACCACCCTCTACCACCTCAATACCACCCTCTACCACCCTCTACCACAATCACTTCTACCCTCTACCACCACCACTACAACCCTCTACCACCAATCACTATCCCACCTTCAACTCATCACTACTACCCTCTACCACATTACTACAACCCGCTACAACATCAATACCACCCTCTACCACATTATTACAACCTCTACCACCATACTCATACCTCTACAACCATCACTACCAGCCCTCTACCACCATCACACACCCTCACCAAAAGTACTACCACCCTCTACCACATTACTACCAACCATCTACCACCACTACCACCTCTACCACCATCACTACCACCCTCGTCCACTTACTACCACCCTTCTACCCACCATCTCTACAACTCTACCACATTACGACCACCCTCTACCACATCACTACCACCCTCTAGCCACCCTCTACCACCATCCACTACCACCCTCTACCACATCACTGCCACCCTCTACCACCCATCACTAACCACCACACTACCACCATCACATATCACCCTCTACCACCATCTACGTAACAAACCTCTAACTCCATCTAATACCAACTTCTACACCAACATCACATCACCTCTACCACCTCACACCACCCGATACCAACATTACTACCTACCCTCTACCCATCAATACAATACTCTACACCATCAAACCACCCCTACCAACACCACTACCACCCTCTACCACCATCACTACCACCCTCTACCAAAATCACTACCACCCGCTTACCACATCACTTACACCCTCTACCTACCATCACACCACCCTCTTCCACCATCACTACCACACTCTACCACAACCACTACCACCCTCTAACACCATCACTACCACCCTCTACCACCATCACAACCACCCTCTACCACCATAACTACCACCCTCTACCACAGTTCACTACCACACTCTACCACCATCACTACCACCCTCTTCCACCATCACTACACCTCTACACCATCACTACCACCCTCCTACCACCATCACTACAACCTCTACCACCATCAATACAACACTCCTACCACCACAACTACCACCCTCACAAACATCACTACCACCCTCTACCACCATCACTACCACCCGCTACACCATCTACTACCACACTCTACCACCTTCATACCACCCTCTAACCACCATCAATACCACACTCTCCACACCCCTACCAACCTATACCACCATCACTACCACCCTCTCCCAACAACACTACCACCCTCTCCACCATCACTATCCACCCTCTACCACTATCACTTTTAAACCCCAAAAAACCATCAAAAATACAGTGTACATAAAGGGGCACCAAGATCAGGAATTCATTGACTAAACCACAAGAGGCCCCCTGTTTGCCAGTACATTTAAGGCTATACTAAAAACTCATTTCATCTTCCAGAATTAACCATACCAACACACTAATCATTCACCAATTGGAATTAGACTCAAAAAAACGTACTCGCCAGAATTTAGCAATGCTTGATCAGTATAAAACATTAATACTGTTGTAACATTGTTAATTGCAATGGTGTTGTATGTTTTTTCTGCCTCAATACTTAAATCTAGTGGTGGACTAGTTGCTAAAGCTCTTGCTTCACACATGAAAGGCCCGGGTTTTCAATTCCCGCGGGGTGTGAAAACGTTTTCAACGTGTTTCCTTACACCTGTTTTCAAGTTCATCCTAGCAGCAAAAAGGACCTGGGTGTTATTTTGACTGGTGTGAGTCGCATTCTGGGGGCTAGAATGAGGACCCCCAATGGTGTCCCCAATCTTTATGATGCATCGACTTCTGGGTTATCCTGGGTGGCTAACCTTCCTGGTTAAACTCCGAAGAAAATCTTATCTATATCTTATCTCACTTTATTAGTAAGTTAAATATAATGAGTAATTAAAATTGACCACTCTAAAATACTAGATGTCAATTTAAGTAGTGTGTCCAGCATCAGTATAAAGTCGCAATACGTGCTCCAGCATGTTATGACCTTTACTTGGACTAACAATAAAAGTTATGAAATGTAAATCACACATTGTAACCTTTGCCAAAGAAATAAAAATTTTATTGTACATGTTACAACCAGTGTTTTAAGTTTATGAGAGAGTCTGGCACTAGACTATCTTATGATTTAATATCTATCATCAAGTCCTATTTTTGTTACTACTAGACAACTGTTTATCGTAGACAAATGTTTACCCCTAGAGGCCTAATTTTAATTTTTAATTAGTGGATGGGGAAGCATGGAAGGCCTCATCAAAGATCAGAAGTTTCATTAGCGGGACTTGTATGACAACACCAGCAATGGAACTTGTCAGATCCCGACACACCTATGCCCAGCTTACCTTAAAAGAGGTGACTCGACTTAGTAACAGCAGTAAACCATCGTTAGCGTCAGAACCGACAATCTTTTAATTTTATTAATGTGTAAGTGTTGGTGTTTTCCCTAACAGGATAGTTGATCTTGCTTTTAGTTCTTAATATGCAGTGGTCGTGAATGCATTCCTTGAGGCTCGTTCTGGGGTATAAAGATCATAAATGATGGTGATGAACCGAAGTCGTCGTTATAATTTGAGTAAGTACCTGTTAGCCAGTTTGTAATTTACGGTAGTACAAGCAGTAGTTGAGTACCACACTAGATGGAACTGCATCCTCTCACATAATATCTTTGCACTCTGCTGGACCAGACATCTGGCCCATGGCTGGGCTCAGGGAGTAGTAAGAACTTGAAACACATCAGAGGAAAGGTACATGCCAGAGTAACTACTTGCTTACTGTCTGTCTCATGAACATGTAAGATGCTGAGGAACTCTTATATTTTTACACTCAGTTATGTGATGCTTTGGTTAATGTGGGTATAGAGACCTGTACTCTGAAGAATGAGTAAGGATGTTACAGTTCTGAGGTGGGAAGTACAGTGCTGTACTTTGAAGGCTGAGTGAGGATGGTACAACCATTCTCAGATAGTGGGCTGTACTTCTCACCGCTACTGTAAGACCAATGTAATGTTTTCATTACAGTTCTCATATGGTCTGTACTCTGATAGCAGTGGACCCTTGGTTATTGTGTCTGGTTTTTTTCATGAATTTTTTGGTTATTGGCAACTTATAGCCTGGTTTTTGTGATTTTCCTTGGATTTCGCAGTCGTACGGATGTGTCCCGTGTCCCTGTGCCACAAAGCTTCCCACAGATGCTCAGAGTCATCGTGGCATTGTTTTCCAGCAAGTGACATCACCCCACGCATTCATATGAAACATATTGAAATAATCCTTGTTTTTGTGCTTGCAACTGCTAAATAAGCCACCATGGGCCCAAAGAGAGCTCCTAGTGCCAGGCTTTGGTAAAGAAGGTTGTGGAATGTATTGTGGCATTGGGGAATTCCATGGGGTTGGATGTGAGTGGCCAGGATGTGGAAGAGTTGGTGGAAGACCAGTGAAGAAATAACCACTGAAGAGCTGGAAGAGCTTCATCTGCAACAGCAACAGACCACAGCTGAGGAAATTGCTTCAGAGGAGGAGGAGGAAGAGAGGGGAGAAGGTGCCTTCTTCAGTGATTAAGGACATTTGTGCAAAGTGGAGTGACGTTCAAACATTTGTGGAGGAACCTCGCCCTAACAAAGCTGTTGTAGGTCGTGTCTGTGACATGTTCAGTGACAATACCTTGTCTTATTTTAGGAAAATCTTAGATGCCAGAAACTTTAGAGCTCTCTGGAACAACTTTTTGAGTGATAGGGGTCCAGTGACTCTCAAGCTGGTCCTAGTGCCATTAAAAAACAAAGAAGGGAAGTAACCCCAGATAAGGATTCAGTACCTAAAGTCTTTATGGGAGGGGATTACCCTTCCAAACAATAGTAACTTCTCCCTCTCCCCTCCTCCCATCTTCCATACACCAACAAGAGTCTTCAATAAAGGTAAGTGTGATGTTATTATTGCTTTATATTGATTTGTCATTTATTTCTGTATGTAAATCTATATTTAATCTCTAAAAACTTAGTTTTTGTTAATACATAAATAAATAAATAAATAATACTTTTGGGTGTCTGGAATGGATTAATTAGATTTACATTTTTTCTTATGGAGATAATGGTTTCGGTTTTCGTGAATTTTGGTTTTCAGCAGACTCTCTGGAACGGATTAATCACGAAAACCAAGGGTCCACTGTATTTCTTTCATTACAGCTCTCAGATGGTGTCTACTCTCAGCTGCTGCAGTAAGACCATGTATTTCTTTCATTACAGCTCTCAGATGGGGTTTTGTACCTCAGCTGCTGCAGTAAGACCCCTGTATTTCTTTCATTACAGCTCTCAGATGGTGTCTGTACTCTCAGCTGCTGCAGTAAGACCATGTATTTCTTTCATTACAGCTCTCAGATGGTGTCTGTACTCTCAGCTGCTGCAGTAAGACCATGTATTTCTTTCATTACAGCTCTCAGATGGTGTCTGTACTCTCAGCTGCTGCAGTAAGACCATGTATTTCTTTCATTACAGCTCTCAGATGGTGTCTACTCTCAGCTGCTGCAATAAGACCATGTATTTCTTTCATTACAGCTCTCAGATGGTGTCTGTACTCTCAGCTGCTGCAGTAAGACCATGTATTTCTTTCATTACAGCTCTCAGATGGTGTCCGTACTCTCAGCTGCCACTGAGAAACCTCCAGACAAGTTTTGTTTCATTACCTGGAACATTGATGGACTTGATGATAAAAACTTAAAGAAGAGGACCAAGACTATTGCCAGGATTATTGAGAGGTATGTGTGGTGCCGAGTACGTATGATGCTGAGTACATATGGTACTGAGTACATATGATACTGAGTTTGTATGGTACTGAGTACATATGAGGCTGAGTATGTATGGTGCTGAGTATGTATTATGCTGAGTATTTATGGTACTGAGAATGATGCTGAGTACATATGATGCTGAGTACATATGGTACTGAGTATGTATGATGCTGAGTACATATGGTACTTAGTGCATATGATGCTGAGTACATATGGTACTGAGTATGTATGATGCTGAGTACATATGGTACTTAGCATCATACATACTCAGTACCATATGTACTCAGCATCATATGCACTAAGTACCATATGTACTCAGCATCATATGCACTGAGTACATATGGTACTTAGTGCATATGATGCTGAGTACATATGGTACTGAGTATGTATGATACTGAGGTACATATGATGCTGAGTACATGTGCTAATTACATATGGTACTGAGTACATATGAGGCCGAGGTATGTATGATATTGAGTATGTATGATGCTGATTATGTATGATGCTGAGCACATATGCTGAGGTATGTATGCTGAGTATGTGTGATGCTGAGGTATGTATGCTGAGTATGTGTGATGCTGAGGTATGTATGCTGAGTATGTGTGATGCTGAGGTATGTATGCTGAGTATGTGTGATGCTGAGGTATGCTAAGTATGTGTGATGCTGAGTACATATGGTGCTGAGTATGTATGATGCTGAGTATATATGATGCTGAGTACATATGATGCTGAGGTATATATGCTGAGTACATGTGATGCTGAGGTATGTATGCTGAGTATGTGTGATGCTGAGTACATATGGTACTGAGTATGTATGATGCTGAGTAAATATGATGCTTTAGTACATAAAGAGCTGGTATATAGCTGAGTACATGTGGGTGCTGAGGTATGTATGCTGAGTATGTGTGATGCTGAGGTATGTATGCTGAGTATGTGTGATGCTGAGGTATGCTGAGTATGTGTGATGCTGAGCACATATGCTGAGGTATGTATGCTGAGTATGTGTGATGCTGAGGTATGCTGAGTATGTGTGATGCTGAGTACATATGGTGCTGAGTATGTATGATGCTGAGTATATATGATGCTGAGTACATATGATGCTGAGGTATATATGCTGAGTACATGTGATGCTGAGGTATGTATGCTGAGTATGTGTGATGCTGAGTACATATGGTACTGAGTATGTATGATGCTGAGTATATATGATGCTGAGTACATATGATGCTGAGGTATATATGCTGAGTACATATGATACTGAGGTATGTATGCTGAGTATGTGTGATGCTGAGGTATGTATGCTGAGTATGTGTGATGCTGAGGTATGCTGAGTATGTGTGATGCTGAGCACATATGCTGAGGTATGTATGCTGAGTATGTGTGATGCTGAGGTATGCTGAGTATGTGTGATGCTGAGTACATATGGTGCTGAGTATGTATGATGCTGAGTATATATGATGCTGAGTACATATGATGCTGAGGTATATATGCTGAGTACATGTGATGCTGAGGTATGTATGCTGAGTATGTGTGATGCTGAGTACATATGGTACTGAGTATGTATGATGCTGAGTATATATGATGCGAGTACATATGATGCGAGGGTATATATGCTGAGTACAAAGTGATGCTGAGGGATGTATGCTGATATGGTGATGCTGAGGTATGTATGCTGAGTATGTGTGATGCTGAGTACATATGGTACTGAGTATGTATGATGCTGAGTACATATGATGCTGTATGATGCTGAGGTATGTATGATACTGAGGTATGTATGATACTGAGGTATGTATGATACTGAGGTATGTATGATACTGAGGTATGTATGATACTGAGGTATGTATGATGCTGAGGTATGTATGATAAATGAGTAAAATATGATGCTGAGGTATGTATGATACTGAGGTATGTATGATGCTGAGGTATGTATGATACTGAGGTATGTATGATACTGAGTATGTATGATACTGAGGTATGTATGATACTGAGGTATGTATGATACTGAGGTATGTATGATACTGAGGTATGTATGATACTGAGGTATGTATGATACTGAGGTAGTATGATACTGAGGTATGATGATACTGAGTATGTATGATCTGAGGTATGTTAAAGATACTGAGTATGTATGATGCTGAGGGTTGTATGATACTGAGGGATGATTTATGCTGAGGTATGTTTTGATACGAGGTATGTAAAGATACTGAGGTATGTATGATACTGAGGTATGTATGATACTGAGGTATGTATGATACTGAGTATGTATGATACTGAGGTATGTATGATACTGAGGTATGTATGATGCTGAGGTATGTATGATACTGAGTATGTATGATGCTGAGGTATGTATGATACTGAGGTATGTATGATACTGAGTATGTATGATGCTGAGTATGTATGATGCTGAGTATGTATGATGCTGAGTATGTATGATACTGAGGTATGTATGATACTGAGGTATGTATGATACTGAGGTATGATACTGAGGTATGTATGATACTGAGGTATGATACTGAGGTATGATACTGAGGTATGTATGATACTGAGGTATGTATGATGCTGAGGTATGTATGATACTGAGGTATGTATGATACTGAGTATGTATGATGCTGAGTATGTATGATGCTGAGTATGTATGATGCTGAGTATGTATGATGCTGAGGTATGTATGATACTGAGGTATGTATGATGCTGAGTACATATGATGCTATGTATGATACTAAGGTATGTATGATACTGAGGTATGATACTGAGGTATGTATGATACTGAGGTATGTATGATACTGAGGTATGTATGATGCTGAGGTATGTATGATGCTGAGGTATGTATGATGCTGAGGTATGTATGATGCTGAGTATGTATGATACTGAGGTATGTATGATACTGAATATGTATGAAAACTAGGTATGTATGATACTGAGTATGTATGATACTGAGGTATGTATGATACTGAGTATGTATGATACTGAGGTATGTATGATACTGAGTATGTATGATACTGAGGTATGTATGATGCTGAGTATGTATGAAAGCTGAGGTATGTTGATACGAGGTAATGTATGATACTGAGGTATGAATGATACTGATTTTGTATGATACTGAGGTATGTATGATGCTGAGGTATGTATGATGCTGAGGTATGTATGATACTGAGTATGTATGATGCTGAGGGATGTATGATACTGAGGTATGTATGATACTGAGTATGTATGATGCTGAGTATGTATGATGCAGAGTATGTATGATGCTTGAGTAGTATGATACGAGGTAAGTATGATACTGAGGTATGTAAAGATACTGGGTATGATAAATGAGGTAAGTATGATACTGAGGTAAAGATACGAGGTATGATACTGAGGTAAGATGATACTGAGGTATGTATGATGCGAGGAGTAATGAACTGAGGTAAAGTATGAAACTGATATGTTTTGATGCTGAGTATGTATGATGCTGAGTATGTATGATGCTGAGAAAGTATGATCTGGTATGTATTGATACTGAGGTATGTATGAAAGCTGATACATATGATGCTATGAATGATACTAAGGTATGTATGATACTGAGGTATGATACTGAGGTATGTATGATACTGAGGTATGTATGATACTGAGGTATGTATGATGCGAGGTATGTTTTGATGCTGAGGTATGTATGATGCTGAGGTATGTATGATGCTGAGTATGTATGATACTGAGGTATGATGAACTGAGGTATGTATGATACTGAGTTTATGATACTGAGTATGTATGATACGAGGTATGAGATACGAGTATGTGATACTGAGGTATGTATGATCTGAGTATGTATGATACTGAGGGTTTTATGATGCTGAGGTATGGGATATGCTGAGGTTTTGTATGAAACTGAGGTATGTATATACTGAGGTATGAATGATACTGAGGTATGTATGAAAACTGAGGTATGTAATGATGCTGAGGTAAAGTAGATTCTGAGGTATGTATGATGCGAGTAAGTATGAAAACTGAGGTAATGTATGATACTGAGTATGGTATGATACTGAGGTATGAAAGATACTTAGTATGTAAGATACTGAGGTATGTAATGAAAACTGAGTATGTTGATTAAATGAGGTATGTATGAATACGGGGTATGTATGATCTGAGGTATGTATGATACTGAGTATGTATGATACTGAGGTATGTATGATGCTGAGGTATGTATGATGCTGAGGTATGTATGATACTGAGGTATGTATGATGCTGAGGTTTTGTATGATACTGAGGGATGTATGATACGAGTAAGTATGATGCTGAGTATGTATGATACTGAGGTATGTATGATACTGAGGTATGTATGATACTGAGTATGTATGATACTGAGGTATGTATGATACTGAGGTATGTATGATACTGAGGTATGTATGATACTGAGTATGTATGATACTGAGGTATGTATGATACTGAGTATGTATGATACTGAGGTATGTATGATACTGAGTATGTATGATACTGAGGTATGTATGATACTGAGGTATGTATGATGCTGAGGTATGTATGATACTGAGGTATGTATGATGCTGAGGTATGTATGATACTGAGGTATGTATGATACTGAGTATGTATGATGCTGAGTATGTATGATACTGAGGTATGTATGATACTGAGGTATGTATGATACTGAGTATGTATGATACTGAGGTATGTATGATACTGAGGTATGTAAAGATCTGAAGGTATGTATGATACGAGTTTTATGAATGAGGTATGTATGATACTGAGGTATGTATGATACTGAGGTAGTAGATACTGAAATTTTATGTAAGAGGTATGTATGATGCTGAGGTGTATATTATAGAAAACGAGGTAAAGTATGATACTGAGGTATGTATGGGTACTGAGGTATGTATGATACTGAGGTATGTAAAGATACTGAGGTATGATATACTGATAGTAAAGATACTGAGGTATGTATGATCTGAGTAGTATGTCGAGATTGATACTGGTATTTTATA